TGTGATCTGTGGATTGATTAGGAGAGTAGTTATAGGCAAACTTCACTTGAGGAAGAACAAAGTTTCACTACTTGATGTTTTTCCCACAAAATGCCTAAGAAGGTTTTCCAAACTGTGATTTATAACTTTTGTCCGATTGTCTATTTGTGGGTGAGCTGATGAATTTAACTGAAGCTTCATATCTAACTTATCCCATAAAGTCCTCCAAAAGCTACTTAGAATTTTCACACCCCAAGTCTTAAGTAATGCTCATGGGTATGTCATTAAGACGAGCTACCTCCCTGAAGTATAAGTCCGCAATATGTGACACACCGAATTTCTGGTGACTAGGAAAAAAATGTCATTTCGGATAATCAGTCTACCACAAACATATCAAATGTTTTACTCCGTCGTGCCATGGGTAGGCCCTCAACAGAATCACTGCTTATGTCCAACTAGGGTGGCTTTAAAACAAGAAGGGGAGTGTACAGACCTATGTTCAACCCATGAGTCTTAGCCAAGTGTCATGCACTGTGCTATTTGACGTGTCTTTCTACATTTCACATCAACTGGGCTAGTAAAATTTCTCTTTCACTAAGAAAAAGAGTTTGTCTATGTGAAAATGTCCTGACTTTTCTTTACTGTGATATTCCTCTAAAATATTCTCTCTAATTGAACTCCGAGGAATGCATAATATATTTTGGAAGAATATGTATTCATCAGATTTGTGATGTTGCTCGTATGGCCTATCCTGACATCGTATCCAAATGTCCTAGAAATCCTCATCAGCTACATACAAGTCTTTTAATACCTCAAAACCAATGACCTTAGATTGTATAAGGGTGTGTTTGGGGCAGCTTATTAGTTGTTTTTTGTTTTGAAAAGTTGTCTTGGAGGCGTTTGGAGCTTGTCGTTTTGAGTACTTATTGTAAAATAGCAACTAGGAAACAAACTTTTCCAAACTGAAGGATGTGCTTCCGTTCTGTGATTCGTTCTATAAAAAGACATAGTCATCATAAGAGATTCCACGAAATTATCTCATTTACCAGTAAACTCTGAGGAACACACCTATGGCTTTTATTTCCACTCTGGTCGTGGCTCTGTGCGCTCCTCTTCCCCGTCGCTACTTCTGCCTTTGATTCTTCTCTTTAGGTGACTTTTAAGCTTTGTTTCCCTTGCAATTTTGCATTGTTGGTTTTTCTTAGGATTATTTGGCTTCTATTTTGGTTGAGTTTTCTGAAAAAACGAGAGCATTTAACCGTGATAAAGGAAATCATTTTTGTTTGTAGGTGTCGAGAGTGTTCTTGCATTCCTGTTTGTTGAGTTTTTCTTAGGATTTTCTCCTTTGTTCCGCGGTTCATGTAGTGAGGAATACAATTTAAATAATAATCATATTTGTAGAGATGCTTTGAAAAGAAATTTCTCAAGAAGACTTGATCGTTTTTTCCACTAAAAATAATGTTATAATAATATTACTTGTTTTTATAATTCTCTTATTGTGTTATTATGTGTTAAGTGATGTATTAGTCTTGATGTATTGTTGTAAAAGACTCCTGATTTTTTTTGTCTTTTTGTTTTTTTGCTTTCCAAATTTTTTTGTTATCCTGTTCGAATTTTTCATGAAACTGCACACTTACATCTTACATATATACATCAGGTCATAGCTATTTGTTTCTTAGAAACAATTGTGGTATAGCAAATCATCCAAACAGACAAATTGCTTCACCATCAATAGATTTGAAACAATACCTGATCAACAACTTATTCAATAAGTTGTAGCTTCCCCAAACAAACCCTTAACGAGTAATAAGTGGCGCATTCTTAACTCATTGTCTCTTTTATTCTAACTCCCTGCCATATGCTTTAGCACAAAATGGAATTACGAAAGAAATTTTACCCATGAGGTATGTCTAATGTTGAGTTTATTTTGACTATTCAAGAATCTCAGGGTTTCATGATCGATGTAGAGAGTAAATTTGTTTGCCAACAAGTAATTACTCCAGTGACTGAGTGCTCTTATAATAAGATAAAAATCTTTGTTGTAAGTGGGATATTTCTTCCTGCAATGGTTCAAATTTTCACAAAAAAGTGGTGTCCTTGACTTAGCAATGCTCCAATTCTCACATTAGAGGCATCGCACTCTACCTTGAACATTTGATTGAAATTTGGAAGTACACAAAGTGGAACTTAAGTCACCTAATTCTTCAAAGCATCAAAACTAGATTGAGCATCATCTGACCATGCAAATCTATCTGACTTGAGAAGCTCTAAGATGTGTGATTGGGCTAATTTTTCATAAATCTTTTGTAAAAAAAGTTAGACCATGAAACCAGTGTAGTTCAGTAATGATTGGGGTCTGGGCCAAGTCACAATAGCCTTGATCTTCTTTGGGTCTATCTTGATTTTTGCAACTGAAATAATGTATCTCAAAAAACACTTCTGCAGTGGAAGAAAGTGACAGTTAATGGGATGATCATATAACTACTTTATCCAAAGAATCTCAAAAGCTTCTCGCAAATACTCTGAGTGCTCTCTCTCTTAACTGTTGTGCCAATATGTTATTAAAGTACCCAACCATAAATTTTTCAATGAAGATTGGAAAAATTTTGTTCATCAGTCGCATGAAAGTGTACTTAAGGCATTGTTCAGTCCAAGGAGCATGACTGTCCACTCATAAAATTCATCTTATGTCTTAAATTCCGACTTTAACTTATTTGTTGGTCTCATCCTAATCTGGTGGTATCCACTACACATATTAATCTTGAAGAAAAAACTGGCTTCATGTGGCTGATCAAGCAGATCATCTAATGTTGGAATATGAAATATTTACTTGATTGTGACTTGTTCACAATCTTGTTATCGATACACATGTGTCATGATTTATCTTTCTTGGGCATAATCAAAGATGACACAACACATGGACTAGTGCTCTCGTGAACTAGTCCCCGAGCCATCATATCCTCAACCTGCTAATGTAGCTCATCACGCTCTATTTGTCGCATCTGATAGGTTGATCATTTGGGAAGCACTAACCCAGGGATAAGGTTTATAACATGTTGAATCTTGCTAGGGTGGTTATCTGGGTGAAGTGTTGTCCGTCAGAACGCCTTGAAACTATGCTAGCAAGGACCACTCAGCCTTGGATTTTGGCTCCTTTGCATCACTGCATTCTAGCATCACTATGGTCAGTCCTACTGGCACCTGTCTTATAGCCTATAGAAAAGTAGCATGAGCACGATGGCTCCAATTTTTGTCTGAGTGCTCTTTACTACTAACTCCTGTAATGGAAAAATTTCACTATGTTTCACATCCTTGTTAAAAGTTTAGGTATTTTGGTGGCCATCTTGAAGTGTACCTTTGTCGTACTGCCACGATGAGTCAAGTAGAATATGACATGCATCCATAGGGACAACATCACACCGTAATTGATCCTACAGTTTGTCTCCCATTGGCAATTCCACCAAACATCTTTTGTCGGCAAAAATCTTGTTTCTCTTCAACCAAATCAAGGAGTATGGCTATGAATGTTTCTATATAGAGAGGCTCAATTTATTTATCATATGTGTAAATATAATAATTTCACAACTGTCTTCATTTATGATGTGGTAGCTCACCTTATCCTTTACAATATAACAGGTACTAAAGATTTATGCTTGAGCCACTATTGATCCCTCTTAGGCTCGATCTAGAGAACTCGTCGAACAACAAGTATATTATCACTTTTTACAGTTAGTTGATACTTCTCTTCATTCTCCTCATATGGGTCTTCACGCTAGAAGGTTGTAAGTCTCTATTATAGTTGAAGGATTTCTTTCTGCATATTCTCCGTAGTAAGCTCTTTGACACCTCTTTGCAGATCTCTCTTAGGCGGCATCATTTCCATTTCTCTTGGTCAATGTTTTGATGGGTGTAGAGCCGTAGATAAAAGGTTGGTCGAGGTTTAGGGTTTTGGTGGTTAGTGCCCGGGTGTATTTTTCTTGAAAGTTTAAATGTTGGATTTTTAAAAATTAGGATTATGACTAGGAATTACGGTAAAAATGGTTTGGGTATTGTGGACTTTTTTTTTTTTTTTTGGAAATTTCGAATCTAAGGCAAAAAGATAAATTTTTAAGAATTTAGGGTTTGGTGGGCTCTGATATCACATGACATCATTTTAATGCTCTTAGATGGTGTGAGAGAACACAAAAGTTAGAGAGTTTTAGGATTGCTTAAATGAGTGAAGAGGATGGATGACGGTTGAAACTAGGCGTGAACGATGACTAGACAGGGAACTAGATGCTGAAAAAGTTCGTTTCCTGCTATAAAACAGCAGTTGATGGTGGCATCGTTGGCTGTCCAGCTGAAAACAATCGACAAATGGTGAATCACTAAGATGCAGACGGTGAGGGAGATCCACTCCCTTTTTCTATGCAAAGCTAAAAACACTACTTATGAAGGGAAGAAGCTACATCACTTTGGAGAGCGTTAATCAAAAACGAATCTTTCACAATGCATAAAGTCAGAAAATTGAAAATCCGAACAGCCCAATACACATATAAAAGTGTCCTTATAGAAAATAGCCTAATTAGAAAATAGAAAAGAAGCAAAGGAAGGAAACTAGCTGAAAGCAAATGAACGAAAATCTCGCGGAAGCCGATACCGCGGTTTAGTATAGGGGGGAGTGTTAGAAAGGATCTTGGACCCAATATGATCGTGTTGTGTCTTTTCATAGAGACTCTTTTGGGGTTTTTGGTTGAGCTAGTGAAAGATAGTGATTCATACATCTATTTAACCTGCTTTTTACCCTTTTTTTTTTGGAGTGAGCTGACCTGATTTCTTAATATCTTTTATTCTTTACATATAAAATTGGTCTCTGTGCTCAATCTCTCTACAAAAGACAAAGCATTTCTATTTGCGATTAATTGATCATACATTTATTTCTGAAGTGCTTTTGGAAATCGTTTTAGTTGATTTTTCTGCTATGGTCTTCCTTTCAATTTTCTCTATTTGCAATACGATCTCTAAACTAATTTGTGGTGCAGTTTGTGCACTCACAATTACATATGCTATGGGACAACGATACCTTCAGACTTCTAAGATAATGCCTGCCGGCTTAGTCGCTGCACTCAGGTTTGCTCCTATTTGTTGTCTTTGAATTTGGCTGTTAGTTATTTTCTTCTTATTATATTTTTTCTTATAAGCTATTGTGGCCATTAATATTTGGTGTTGTTCAACACTATCTTTAGAAACGTTCTCCAGTAAAGATTGACATTGCGCGACTATCAACCTAATGCTATTTTTTCTTGCGTTTTTATGTTTTACTGAGTTTGATGAAAGAATTAGAAATGATATTCATAAAATCATTATGTAAAAAGAGCCACACTACTGCTGAAAATTTTGAATCAATTTTTTTCATTGTTACTTTTTTCTAATAAAATTTCTTACAGATTTTTTGGGTCATGCATCATAATTTGCTTAGCATTCCAAGCATATGGAAGTTTTCTGCACTACTAATAATTTGTTCACATTCTGCTGCAGATGTGCGCTAGGTTATTAATTTCTTTTTCTAACCTTCAATTTTTTATATGAATATATAATATACCTTTTTATGTGATTTATTATGTTCTCTTAAATCTCATTTAATAATTTCTTAAACTAAGGTGTCTTCATCTTTAACTAATGTTTTATTATTATTATTTTTTTATAATGCATCTATCTTATTCAAAATCTCTAGATCTCTGATCTTTTGCCTTAAATAGTACACCTATCGTATTTACTTCATCATGAGTATCAAGCCTGCTCTAGAAATTGACAATATGTAGTTTTTTTTTTCTTCTGCAATTCCTCTTAATTATATTTAATTTTCCATATCATTATAAGGACAAAGTGGATAACCAACTCACTGCTCAAATTACATAACCTCCTCTTAACCTGAAGCTGTAAAGAGCATGCATAACTATACAAAGCAATTAAGAGCCCGTTTGGGGAAGCTTAAAAGTGCGGGCGGCGTTTTAAAAACGCCGCCGTCCCATTTGGTTAGCACTTATTGGCAGATTATCCAAAACTCAGTTTTCACTTTTGTGAAAGACGCGGACCGCAGGATGACCCCCGCGGTCCGCGTTTTGCGAAATGATTTTTACGTATCCGCCCTTGACCCTCATTCGCTCCCGTGTCATTCATTCGCTCTCGTGACCATAATTTGCTCTCGTGACCCTGCCCTTAGACGCCTTCATCGGAGAATCCTTCGCAATACTCGTGCCCTAAGCGCTCCTCCCCTACGGATCCAGTTCGTTTTCCCTCTGGTTCTTCGACATTTGACTCCTTCGCCATCTTCTTCTTCGGCTTTTTGCTCTACAGGTTTATCTTCCATCAAATGTATCATCTTCATGTTCGTCGTTTGTAGTCGTTCGGGTTTGATATGTTTATTTGGATTTTTTTATGTGGAAAGCGATATCATCTTTGTTCCGTGAAAATCTTTTGCAGACCTATGATATTTTGTTTAGAGGATTTTTTTTTCTCATTTCGGTGAGATATTTGATGTATCTGATGATGGATCTGAACTCATGAGGTGTAAAATTAGTGGATCCAACTAATTGCTTCCGGAAATTGGGTGTTTTTTCTCATTTTGCGGTATGGTTGTGGCCATGAGAATGTTTAGGGTATCACATAAAAAATTGTTTTACAAAACTTACAATAGTTTTTTAAGAAGTGCAATTTATATTATTCTTCCTACATACCAACTGCTAGCTGAGCAGGGCTTGGGCATTGCATTGCTTACAAACATATGTATCAATTTTAGATATTGCATGGAGGAAGTTTTTGTGATCTTTTATTTTACTGTTAACCGTTGTATGTCATCTTGGGATGGGGATGATCTACTCCAGGATGATTACTCATTTTTATCATTTTAGAAAAAAATGCCAAATACTCATATACAAAATTTAATTTTGAATGGGCACAATTACAAGCATATTGGATAGGTGTGAAACTTAAGTTACCTTGCTTAGATGATGAACTCAAAGCCATGGATACATGGCAAGAATGAGATATGCGGAGAACATCTTCTGCTTGTATTCTTTCATTCGATCCTTCAATGAGCATAGAAAGGAATCATTGGAAAGAAAGAAAAAAAATATCAGTTGTTTACTATGTATGCGGGAAAAGTTTTCTTTTTGTAAACTGTAATAATTTTGATCAATTTGTAAATGATTCTTCATGCAAATTATTTCATTATTATTTGTGAATTGCTTTGGATTTTGTAGTAGCAATAGAATTTTGGAATTAACATGTGTATCAAATAAATTACTTATCCCTTAGTTATGATATCTTTTGCTATGAAAAGAAATGGTTTGTTCTTATCCGTTAATCTGACAAAACTCAATAAATAAAGCTAAAGAGGCTGGATCATCGGCCATGTGGGATAGAGAGGTAACTATTATATTTTGTGATCTATGTCTGAGAGAGGTTGAGGTGGGAAATAGACCCACTACTTATTTTAACAAAGAAGGGTGGTAAAATCTTATAATTAAATTCAAGGAAGTGACCGAAAGAGATTATGATTACATGAAATTGAAGAATAAGTGAGATCAGTTAAAGAATGATTGTAAACTATCGAAAGAACTGAAAAGGAGGTCAACGAGAATGGGTTGGGATCCAGTTAAGCGCATAATAGATGCACCAGAGGATTGGTGGGCTGAGAATCTACAGGTATATAAATATATAATATTTCTTTATCTTGAATCAAATTTTGCATTAAGTTGAAGTGATTTTATTAATACAAATTTGTTATCTATATCAGGCAGTGCCGTCAGCCAAAAAATTTAAATTCATTGGCATTGATTCAATACTGAAGGAGAAACTGGATGGCATGTTCACTGGGGTTGTCGCAACAGAAACTCATGCGTTCACCCTAAATAATCTAGGGTTTGGCAGCTCAGCACATGAGATGGATACCGTGCAGATAGGTGATTCAGGAGACGGTCTTAGTCATGCCCACACAGATGTTCAATCCACTAGTGTGCCCAAGCTTCTCAAGGTAGAAAAAAAGAATAAAGGGGTCGCTTTCATCAAAGGCACCATTGATACACTGGTAGAAACATGCAAAACAAGGTTTTCTTCCCCGCAGGACACAAGACACCTCAATTGAGGAGTGTCTTCAAGTCCTCAATACATATTTTGATGTTAAGGTAGACGATGACGACTATATACAATACGTGAAGGTGTTACGAGACTCAACCATAAGACAGTTTTTTATTCAGAGAAGTCTGGGCAAGTGATGTGCCGAGGCGGGCTACCGTCCTTATTACTCATGTCACGACAGACACATAGCTATAGACGACAATTCTACAAGTGTCCGCGGTGGGGACACGGACCAGAAGATTACAAATTCTTCGAGTGGGCCGACAGTACAACTGTTTCTACGATATCCAAATTGGACACCGCTGCTCGGAGTTCGACAGTATCACTATGGGAGAACACCGCATGTGGTTCGAGTGCTTCCGTTTCTAGGATATCCCAGTAGGATAGGTTTGCTCGGGGTTTTGATGTATCAGAACCGAACAACATTCGTCGTGATATGCTTTTACATTTTAAAGTCAACATTGTCATTTTTTATTGTAATTTTAACACGTTATTATTATTATTTTTTTGTCTCATTATAATTCATATTAGTGTGTGAATGTGTACTTCACTTTCATATATGTCACTGTGTTTATTTGATGTAATCAGAACTTTTTGAGTTATATAAATGTAATTCAATTCTTTTATATTTTCATGTCTTGACATTTGAGAAAATAATAAATTCTGCGTAACAGATTATTCATTCTACTAAAAAAATCTGCGAATAAGTTGTTTACAAAACGCACAAAACAAACAACTAAACAGTTTATCCAGAACAGGAGCAGAGTGGTCATTTATTCAGAATAAGCTGTTTTCCAAACGCACAAACCAAACAACCAGCTTATTCAGATCAGCTGCTCATCAGCAGATTATCAAGATCAGCTGCCTATCAGCAGAAGCTGGATAAGCTGGAGCCCCCAAACAGACCCTAAGTACAATCATTCTTTGAACTTTAGAACAGGGATAAACTCGGTATGCATGTTAGTGCGCCCCTTTTGAATTAAAACATCATTTTCTTCAACCATTGATTTTATGTAATAATATGTAATATCAACATGTTTTGTTTTATAGCTTAAGTGAAAAGATTTCTAACCACCACAAAACCATAGAATTAGGCTTGTGTAACCCCAATCTTCAACCAAAGCTCTCAGTTAAATAGCCTTTTTCTTTGAATTATTAAGTGCTTATGCTTTCATTTTATAGTGGATAAATGCTGAAAAGGAGTTTTGTAATTGATGACACACAGTGAGAGATTGAAGACATTCATGATATAAGGGTCTGTTTGGGGCAGCTGCAGTTTGTTCAGCTTATTCAGATAAGCAGCTGATTTCGATAAGCAGACTGGCTGTTTGGTTTGTTCTTTTGAAAAACAACTGATTTGCAGATATTTTTGGATAAATGACTATTCTGCTCCTGTGCATATATTTTAATTTAATTTAGTCATTTTATATAAAATTTACCATTAATTTTAATTTAATCATTCCTATTCAATTATAGTTCAATAAATTAATTTATACTTAACATATGATCATTTATGAATTAAGCATTTGTTAGTATTTATTAAGTTAATTTAAAATAAATTTTATATAAATAAATAAATGCTATCAAATAGTTAATATTAATTCATAAATAAGTTCTATTGTTATAAGCATAAACATCAAAATTAAAGCATATAATTCACAAATTTCTTTTATTGTTTGAGAAATTTACATATTATTTACTTAAACCATTTAATTTACTCAAATAGTTAATAATAATTAATAAATAAATTAGCTCCTTCCTCTGCTCAGGCTCCGATTCATCGCAGCCCTACTCGCCAGAAACACCATGGAAGCTTGCCGGAGGAGGAAGAAAGATTGGAGTTTTGAAGGGCTTTGTAAGCCGCAATCCCGTTGTTGCCTTCCCAGTTAGCTCTAATCGCGATCGTATTGCTAGGATTTCGATGATGAAGGCGAGGATTTTTGGGCGGAGTCGTGAGGAAGGGGAAGTGGGCGAGTGTTTTTGGGTGGAGCCGAAGGAAAGCAGGAACATGCGAAGAAGAAGGCAACAACGTCAAATGCAGAACGAAACGTGGAATCGCGGGGCTCCACCTGTGATGGGCGTTTAATTAAATAGAGAAACAGAGTTTTCAAATAAGCTTTTCAAACGCATTTTTAAAACAGCAAGGCAGCGTTTTTGAAACGTCGCCGCAGTTGATAAGCTGTCCCAAACACACCCTAAGTTATATTAAAATCACTAACTTAGAATCAGAAAACCTCATGACACTACAATCATATGAATCCTTTTCATACATCAGACCATAACTTGTAGCGTCCATTTGACACCTCAAAATATATTTTGTTACTTCTTTTTATGTTTGATTAAGCTAAATGATTCAGGCGTCATTTGTTCCTGGGTGGGATATAGTATCTCGCTCGACCAAGTAGACACCCGTATGCTCAGTTGTGTCGAACTGCGCTATGTTTTGCTGCATGCGGTGGAGTTGGCCGACTCTCGGGCCCACTTCTATTTATCTTATTATTATTTAATTGTTTTTCTTTTGTTCTAGGATTAGGTTTTCATGTGTTTTGTATCAGGACAATCACCAATGTCTCTTCTTCCTTTCAAGGGCTATATCCTAGGGTTTTTGGTAGTGTTACGTTGTATCTTGGTCTCCAAGTGGTGATTATCTTCCCTATCCATTTTATCATCCCTCTCACTTCGCTACCACTCCCTCCTTTTTGCAGCCACCCTGACAACAGTTCTTTTATTGTTCTTCTAGCAGTTCCTCGCTGTCCAACCATCCTCCTCGCTTCCACACCCTCAGGATAGTCCTTTTGTTGTATCGCAATCGTACATCTTCGTTGTCGTCGTTATTCTCACTCACTGGCATCACATGGAAAAAGTTGATCCTGGCAATCTTTTGTTATTCCAGCAACTTGACCCTTTGTTTCTCTGATTCCAACCTTCTGCCATTACTGCAACTCCTCTCCTTCGTTGTCAACGTCCTTCCCCTTTGTTTTCATCAACCCGGACAACCCTCATGCATCATCCCTGCTATCTACTTGCTGTCCGGCCGGGGGAAACTGCTCTCTTGCTATTTTTTGCTTGCCAACTATCTTTTCCAACGCCGGACCACCTTCCAAACCCTCACTGATCACCACCACCACCACCACCACCACCCCGAGATAAACCCTCACTGAGCGTTTGTGTCGTGTTAGTTGTTACTTTTAATTTTTTGTATAGGTCCATATTTGAATTTCTGTAATAATATTTGTTTTTCCCATTATGGTTTGGGTTAACTCTGGTATCATTTGATATTATAATTAATTTAATCTTATTCCTATCTTAGGGTTTCTAGCATCCCCCATATCATCCCCTCCTTTTCCTTTCTCTTCACCTGACACACTTTCCACCTACCTACACTCAAAACCCTAACCTTGTCATTTTTAAAAATAAATAAATAAAGAAAAAACAAAAAAACATGTCCCGAGGAGAAAATTGTCAGAATCTATCATGGACGACATACAACGACTACTCCACCAAGTTTTACATCGGCTTGATGCCATTAAGGAAAAGAAATATGGAGGGATCACCGTCGATTGTAATAATGAATTGTGAAGGAGAGCGAGAAGAAAACCTGAATTCCTTTCATATGAATGATTCCAGTGGAAACAAAGACAGGCCACAGTGCTTTGGGGTACATGATCAGTGGAGGCCTAAAGTTGAAGTGTCTGTTGGAGGATAAAAAAATGAGATGTATGTCAGAGAACGCTGAGATGAGATATATCTTAGAGGACACAAAGGGCACAGAGATGAGATGTATGTTAGAGGACACAGAGATGAGATGTCTGCAAGAGAATACAAAGATGAAGAACCTCTTAGAAAATGCAGAGATGACGTGCCTATTGAAGAATGCAAAGATCTATGAATGAAGGTGGACCTACTGAATTTCGAGGGAAGAATAGATCCAAATGATTTTCTCGAGTGGATAAAGACTGTTGAGCGGACTTTTGAATATAAAGAGTTGTCTGATGATACAAGAGTGAATTTCATCATTTTCAAACTGAAGAAGAATGTTTCTTTGTGGTGGGATGACTTGAAGAGAGAGAGAGAAAAGGACGGGACAAAATCATGTCTTGGGAGAAAAAGAAGGCAATGCACCGACAATACCTACCCCGCACTATCATCATGATAGTTTCTTGAAGCTCCACTACTTGCAGTAGGAGCTATTAATGGAGGAGCACATAACATAATTTTTTAAGCTTAAATTGAAGTGAGTAGAAGGAGCTTGAGGAGCACACCATAGCTCGATACTAGGGAGAACCGAAGCCCATCATCAGAAATGTCGTCCATTTGCAACCATTGATAGCTCATTTACTATTTTGGAGTCTGAGATCACATGTCCTCTTGCCAGCAGAGAAGTGTTGGTGGGATCAGTTTTGGTGAAGATAGAGAATGATAGGGCTAAGGCGTCGATTCTAGACATGGGACAGTCACAATGGATAGCATTTCATGACATCACAATCGATACCTTACCAACATGATACCCACTCATTCGTTTGATTTAGCTAAATCATTATTTAAATTGAAATGTTACTTGAGGATAAGTTTGATGCATGAAAAAGTTAACTAGAATTTATGATTGTTTTTATATATTTTTATTGATGATATTGCACTTTACGGAAGATATTTTTGTGTTTTTTTTTGCAGGTATAATAAGTAGTTGAAGTGAGAGTGACAGGAGAAAACAGTTAGCTTAGGGAGGAAAATTGGTTACTGCCAGATCCTTGGGCACCAAGGCGCTAGTCCTAAAAGAACACAACCCGAGAGGTGGGCATCTAGGCGTCATGATACCAGCGTCTAGGCGTCGGGCCCTTGGGCACCTAAGCGCTCATGCAAAATTTAGCAAACTGAGAGCTTGGAGCCTAGGCGCCAGTTTTGGCTAGTTGTTGCAGTTCAAGTGCCAATTCGTGGGAAAATCGTGTGCTGAAGGAAGGAGTCGTGGATGCTAAGTATTGGAGCTTATAAATAGTCATGTATTGCAAGAGCTGATTGATGGTTGTGGGATTGATGTTGGCTAGCTACTTAGGGGGCTTATCTTACTTTGGGAGACAATATTTCTTCGAGTTATGATGAATTTACATATAACTCTGTTAAGGAACATTTACATATATAATGCACAATTCTGATGAATTTACATATCTAACACATAAACTTCCATATTTACATACATAACATCCAAATTTTTAACATCACATAAAAAATGACGCTATTTCTAAAATGAAAATATCTTTTCATGCATGGGTTTTTGAAACCAAAATGTTATAAATATAAAAGTTTAGATGCTATATTTGTAAATGTTTGAGAATTGTGTGGTATGTATGCCAATTTCTCCAAAAAAATATTATTTTCAATTTGACCAATGTACTTTCATGAGGAAATATAAAGATGTTAGGATTTAGAGGGAATAAACATTTGGTCGTTTATTAAAACAGCAATAGCTTGGTTATTATTAAAAGTTTTGCTAAGTCCTTTATCCCAACATTCCACTTGTTTTGCAAGGAAAATAAGATCCTTCATACAAAGTCAAGACTCTTCATTCATCATTTCTTTTTCTCATTTCAAACTCCCAATCAAAAGAAAATTATATTTTCCCTTTTTTCTCTCTCTTGATATGACCTAGAAATTAAGAGATCTTTTATTTTTATTGCATTTATCTGTGATAAGTTAACCAATAAACTACTATCTATATGTACTCTCTAACATGCTACCGTTGCAGTGCTCTTATGTCTGCGTTCTACATCTACAAGATTGCAACCGGTGGTAATCATATCCCTACCAAGACTGAATAAATCTAGCAGGTTAGAGAAAGTTTAGATGTAACATGTTCTGGTCATGCAATGATACCACTGTTGATGAAGTTGTGAAAATTACCCTTAGCTTTAGGGATGATCTGCTTGATATCCCAACATATATGATAGAAAAACATGATTTCAGTGCCAGCTTTTTTGTCTGCTGGTTCTGTATGTCGTGAAATGATTTTTTACCTGGATATTTTGATCAAATTCTTACAAAGGATGAGTCTCAGTATCATTGGATTTATTTTGAGTTTGATGAGATATAAATTTTAATTAATTTTTTATTTAGTTCCCGCAACACGGTCTTTGGTTTTTTTTTTTTCTGATTTTTAGAAATTTTTGTGATGAAAAGCTGTTTTTTTTTTTAATTTTTTTTTGTTAAAGCCTAATTATTCTATTTTCTTTTTTTTTTAAACGTGTTTATAATTTTCATCCTAATTTGTTAACTTCTCTTCCATGATTTTACAATCCTTTTTTTTTTATAACACTAAAAGTTTAATATATACACTATATTATACTTAGTGCCATAAATTTGGAATGAAAATATGTATTTTACTTTTAAAAGAAGATAATGATGGTTATATGATATTAAAATTTTGATTGATATTTATGTAAATATGGATGTTTTGGTGTTAAGAATGAAAATATGTATTTTACTTTTAAAAGAAGATAATGATGGTTATATGATATTAAAATTTTGATTGATATGTATGTAAATATGGATGTTTTGGTGTTAAGTAAATAATGAAGAATTCTGTGGTATGCAAGTAAATGACCAAATTTTTAATCAACAAGAGAAATTTGATTCTGCAATATATCAGATAAAAGCATTTTCATTGCTCTAATTAATTATTAATTAAATAGTCAAAGCTAGATAATGAAAATATTAATTTACAACAATCGCAACAACAATAAGCTTTTAGCCCACTAAGTGGGGTTGGTTGTATGAATTATTTTTCCCCATTGTGTATTGTGTCTTATTGAGTGTAATATATTCATTTAATTTTAATAAATTAAGATTATTTTGGGCATGTGGCCAGATGGGCTCACCATAAGCCCGCTTAGAATAGAAGGGTTTGGCTATTAAAAAAAGAAATCTAACTCTTATACATAGATATGATGGCAAACATAACAAAAAAATTTGGGAGTTGAGGTGTTAGATAAGTATTCCCTTAAGTTTAAGCAATACTTTTTCTATCACACAATAGGCTCGATGCATTTCTCATATACAATTATCCAACTTTAAATTCTACTAACATCATCATCTATATCACAATCGTTTTGAACAATAGACCTGAGATATCTAAAATATTTATTGATTTTAATAACTTTATCACTTATTATTATAAATCCCTCACTAGATTTACTATTATTAAAATTACATTTCATGTATATTTTAGATCTACACAAACAAAAACATTTAGACTCGAAAGTCGACCCCTATAAATTATTTTTTTGGTGAAATCCCTCGTCTTATTCGCAAGAAGGATGATTTAACATATAACCAAGTAATAATAATATGTCTAGTAAAATATCCTGTAAAATATTAGCAAATTGTTAATGGCTGAATTCATTACTTTATTTTAATTTGTGCAAAATAATGCAAATATTTTAATTATCATTTTGATTTTAATTACTAAATTAGGTGGAAGGTTTATATATAATTTTTTCAATTTAAATAAAATATGTGAGCAATATAACAATATGAGTAAATTATTAGAAATAGGGCTGTCAAAACGGCTCATTGTTTATGAACGGCTCATGTTCAGCTCGTTAATTAACTCACATGTGATTTGTTCGTTAAGCAGATGAGTTGAACATAAACAATTTATTTGCACTAGATATATAAATGAGTTGAACATGAATAAAAATTTGTTTGTTTATATTCAGCTCATTTTGACCCGAAGTAATTATATATATAATTAATTGATGAATATTATTTTTAAATAATTTATTGACTACAAGCCTACAATAATTATAATCAATTAAAATTATTAATTTAAAATAGGATAATGAATGTATTGAATCCCATTTAAATTAATATTTTAATATAAATACTAAGATTTAAATCTCTCATCTATGATTAACATCTTACAGTTGCATGATCGTCAAAACAACTTGATGTTTGTGAACAATTCGTGTTCGGCTCTTTAAGCAAACGGGTTGAATATGAATAAATTTTTTGCGCTCGATATTTAAACCACTCGAACACAAACATTGGTATTTTTTAAGTAGCCGAGCATTTACACATTTAGAAATAATAAGAAAAATTGATATTGAAATTTCAAATAAACAATTAAATAACTCAATACTTACAAATCAGCTCCCTCATTTTGATTAGTTATGCATTATTCAAGTAAGAAGTTGAAAGCAATTCATAAATAATTTGCTATTTACTTCGCCCCCACTCAAATCTTGCTAAGAAACTCCAGCACGTATTATATCAAGGTAATAATTGCTTGATCATATTAGTCCACCATATCTACAACAAACGAAAAGGCCTCTTTCTTTCAGTCAAAGGAATTTCAACAAACGAAAAGGCCTCTTTCTTTCAGTCAAAGGAGAAGCACAATTTCATAATAATAATAATAATAATAATTAAATTTGCTAGATTCTGAAGATCAAGGTGCTTCATGAATGCTTGATACCTTGTCATGAAATTTATCAAGCATACACGAATCTTGATGTTAAATTTTCTTTTGGATTCACTTTATGATCTAGGAACTCTATTTTCAATAAATTATTTTTATAAAATTGAACGTCTCAAAGAGACTAATCTAACGGCATAGATCCAACCAAATCACCAAATCATGCACCTAAAGGGATTTAAAATTTCATGAGGTTAACAGATGATGAAAGGATCCCCCAATCTTACATGTTTATAATCAAATCGAGTTGCTTGAAGAAAAAAATTAATGATTTTAATAAGTTCACTTTATTTTACAATCAATACGGTCATTAAATACTCAATGGATGATCTATAATTAAAACATTAAACACGAGCATTCTAAAATTGCTTTGACGATTTGGTTATAAAGTTTTTTCGTAATTTCTTTTCACAAAACAACGTTGTCTACTCATTTTAAATCAAGATTTTTGAGTGGCATTAAAACAACATCTTTTATAAAACATTTTTTAAAATTTTTTTTTCTTTTTGAAAAATAGAAGCTTAACCAAACAAATCTTAAGTATATCAAAGTGTTGTTCTACAAAAGTATAACTAGACTTTGATTCTTCATATAATAAGGGCATTGGTATAAATTTAGAGAGAAGTTGAAAATTTGAAGAACTATAAAACTCAACGTTGCATTGGATTTCAGCAATCACTGCAAAAATAATTGTCACTTGACTATCGTTACCCAAATATCATCGCATGACCAATATCTTCCTATCATGTTTTAATGCTATCACTTGACTGTTGTTGCCCTTACATCATTGTCCAACGACCCATCATCCAACTATTATAATTTGTATGACATAACATAGTGCTAACTCCTAACCAACCTCCATCATCAACATTAATACAACTTTAACATGTTATACATTGTGCTCCACCCTTTTTCAATTGAGAAGAAGAGTTAACCATTAAAATATTTATTTATATAATAGATCATTTTATCCTGGCCAGACCACATCATATTTTCTACTTACTCATTTTCAGGTAAAAATTATGGTGAATATTGAAATACCTTTTTACTAGTATGCATGTGTATAATCTTTATATAAAATTAGAAAGTAAAAATTTATTTATATTGTCATAAACTTTTGAGCTTGCAACAATACTTAATTTACTTTCTTAGAAAAAAAAAAAATACAAAACTGAGTTATCAAAAGTTAAATGAAAACTCAAGCCCATATCCTCATAATGTATTTTCTCATAAAATTCACCAACATTTGACATTTTCTTGCTACTATTTGATTATTTAGATAAAATGTGCACATTTGCGTGACAGCCTTCACCAGCTAAATGAGCACTAAAATCAACCAAAGTATAAGTTATTTCATCCAAAATAAATTTCCTGATATTTTTCTCTAAAAAAATAGGGGAATATATTTCTAAATATATGTATTATGGGTATATAAGAAAAAAGTCAATTTTCTAAGTAGGGCTGTCAAAACGGCTCGTTGTTCGCGAATAGCTCGTGTTTGACTCATTAAGAAGCAAGCGAAAGGCTCGTGTTCGGCTCGTTCGCTAAGTTAACGAGCCGAACATGAACAACACGAACAAATATTCGTTCGTTCGTGTTCGACTCGTTTTGGCTTGAATTACTACTAATCAATTATATATATATCTTTGATGAGTAGTATTTTTAAAAAAATTAATTGAATACAAGGCTACAAAGATTTATAATCAATTAAAAGTATTAATGAAGAAGATAGAATAAAAATTATTAAATTAGATTCAAATGATGTTTTAAATATTGCCCCAATCATTAACATCTTATGTCTACATGATTAGGGTTGTCAAAATGACTTTTTGTTCGTAAATGACTCGTGTTCGACTTGCTAAGCAAATGAGCCAAACAATTACACATTTTTTGAGCTCGAAATATAAACGCTCCCACCCTTATTTGTAAGTGTGAGTGGTTCAAATTTATACGACTCGTGCCATCATTAAAAAATACAAAACGTTTTTCTCCCCTAAAAAAAGCCCCAGAAGTCACTCCTCTTTCACTGCCATGGCCACTCGCTCTCTTCTCCTCTTACTTCCTCTCCTCTGCTTCTTCTACCTCTACTCCAACGAATGGGACGGACCATGGAAGCTCCCATTTCGCACCTCGGACATCCTCCCACTGCTCCCTTTCTCGGTCTTAAGACCCATCCTCAGCTCAGTGCATAACGCCGCAGATCTCCTCCCGACCTTCATCGGCTCCGTCTCCTCGCCGGAATCCAACCTCAGTTGGAAGGGCGCTTGCTTCTATAAGAATCAAGCCTGGTTGGAGTTTCACAATAAGAGCAAGTCGCCCTACGGTGGAGGCACTCTCCATTTAAAGGTTAGTACCTAATGCGTTTTCTTTGAATTCGTTGAATTTTGAATTTGTTTTTGTGGATAATCCATTGTGATGGAAATCTTTTCTTGACATGTTTGTTTGAAATTAACAGGACCGCATCATTTCTATTTTTGCCTGTTTTTACACACATAGTGAAAAGTTTGTGGTTGTTGGCTATGAATAGTTTCATTAATAGATATCACTTGTTTGGTTGCGAATTTTAATGTAATTGTCTTTTATGTGATGACAGGGATTTTCCTTGTCATTATTTTGATTAATTTTAAGTTAAAGTTGCTTTCCTATTAATCTTTGTTAAATCTAGTGGTTGGAATGACATTGATGAAAGAAGAGTGCTCGAATAGCATATTGCTGTTAGCTAATTTTAACATTTACTAAGGGCTAAAGTTTAGAATGGTTCATGGAAAAATTTTCAAGGTTCATGTTGCCTCCATGGGGTGGCGATTTCTGAAGTCGTGAATGGCAGGCTGATTTTAGATGTTGAATCCTTTTGTGGACGATCTCGCAGTAAATTAAAAATAAAAATTAAAATGATAGGCATCACATTCTGCACTATTAGTAAAGTTGATATTTTTTTTTATTGAAAGAGTTAAATCATGAATAAGTTGTTATTTAGTTTGTGACAGAAATTTACAATTAAAGATATGCTGAAGATTGCCACCTTTACAACAAAATTTATCATATTGAGTTGTCTATCTCAAATGAAGTAGTTAGTCTGCATTGCTAAATTTGGCTATTTGGAGATTAGTGATTCATTGGGCTAGGTCCGGCTCTTATACTTCAAATTCCATACTAGTGAATTGCAATTTATTAAATGGAGTTTTTGTGGCTTGCTTATGGGCAAGGTAGGGTAAAATTGCCCCTGGATAGTTATGCGAGGTATTCAGTACGTTAGCCTATGATCTATTGAAGAAGGCATCGCTTTAGGCACTCGGGGCTTGCCTTTTATGCTATGTTAAGAGGGGATATAGTTCCATTATATTACTTTAAATTAAATTAATTATTAAATTACAAAATGTTAAGTTAGTATGAATATCTTCTCATTCTATTTAATGATATAAATATTAATGAAAGGATAATTTGCCTTTTCATCTCTTAAGATTTAAGTTATATTAAATCGATTCTTCTTCTATAAGCCCATAGAAGCTTCAGAGTCCTAGCCAAACTCATTTTTGTTTTCCTCATCTTCTTGCCACTCGCCTCACCAAAGCCCTGCATTAACTCATCCTTCATCTTTAATTTATTTATTTTTACATCTCATTTTTTTTAATTAATATGTTTGTGTCAGTTTTAACTTTGGAGTTATAATATAAATCATATGGTTTTGAGTTTTATATTTTGGAATTCATTTTTTTATTATTGTTTTTCAGTCATATATATTTTTTATGAAATTTAAAATAAGATAAAATTCGTGAGGCTTATGCCCCATGGCTTGGGATTTATGACACATCTTGTGACAAGTAAATATTCTCGCCTTATCATTTATGCCTTCGTATTTTAAAATATTAGGTGTTTGTCAATGGTATTGAGATCTAACTTAGCCTTTGTGTGTTTTTGTGTGTTTTCAATTGACAAGTCTAACAAAGAGGCAAATCTGATATGGTCCAGAGCAAAAATCAACCCGATTCTCCACAAAAATTAGGGCAAAATAGATTTTTTATTTCAATAATTCAAACAACTCAATAAGAACACAAAGCGAAGCATCAACGATTTGAGAGTTAGGCGATCTCTCCCAATTTCTACAATTTAAGATGTAGGAAATCTCTCCCAAAACATAAACCCAAGACTCACAACTCAAATCTCATGTATAAACCTAATCCTAAACATAAAAAACCTATTTACATCCATCAATAATAATAATAAAAGACTGAATTGCCCATAAGTGTACAAAAGACAAAATTTCTCTTAGACTAGGTGCCTTCATAACAATATTCCCCACCCGCAAAAGACTACTTGTGCTCAAAGTCAGAAAAAATAAGAGTGTTCCTCCTCCTCCCCCACAGTGGCCTCTACTTCTTCATTCTCTCCTTCATTGTCCTGCAATATGAGAACTTGTAATCTTTGATCCTTGCAACGATTTCCTGGGGTGAACTTCTCCTTACACTGAAAACATAACCTTTTCGCTCGCTTGTCCTGAATCTCTGTCTCTGTAAGACACGTGAGTGTTGCTCCTGATTGTGGTCCATGATTCATGTTTCATGCGGCCTCCCTCTGAACTTCCATTATATAAACTTTTGGCATCATCGTTGTTGCAACAGTTATGTACGATGCTCCATCTGTGTTGCTTCTGTTGGCTTACTTCATCTGGTTCTTGTTTTCCAGCATCTGGGCTAGCTCCATTATTTCTCTCAATCTTCGTTGTCTTAGTAGTCAGAGTGTTGTCTGTTTGGTGGGCTTTAAGCCCTCCATGAAATTCCCCTCTAGTCCTGCTTCAATTCATAGTAGTTCCGAAAATAGTTCAATCTCTCCCTATATTCTATAACCGTCTTCTCCTGAGTCAAGACATAGAATTGCTAGTGTTGGCCTCCTTCTCGAATGGCTCAGGTACGTTCCAACAAAAAATCTTTAAATTCATTCCGCGAACAAATCAGATATCTAGCTGCCCTCCACTGAAACTAGGCTAAAGCTTTCCCCTCCAAATAGAATTCTGCCGCCAGGAGTTTCTCCTCCCCATCTAACTTATTCACCGTTAAGTATCGCTCCACTCGATACACCCACCCATATTTGTCTTTGCACTCGAAGATCGGTATCTTCAACTTCCTAACTCTAACATCTCCACCTCAACCTCCTCTTCCTCCGGTACTTCCTCCCTTATATCTAGGGTAGAACTCCCTCCTTCGGTCCTAGGATTACACAACTCCTGATTCTCTCCTTCCTCCATCGTGTTTTTCCGTCACCCTTACAACATCTCTCTTCCAATTTTGAACCCATCCCCCTCCTCTTGGAGTTCTAGGGGGACACTCTTGTTGGTAGACGATGTCTCCCTCGTTGTCTTCTCGTTTGATCCCCTTCCCAGTTGACCTAACGAAGGATTTCCTGATCAACCCTTGGTTAGGGTTTATAACTGAAGTGATCGACATGGTCTTGAATTGGATCTCCATGAGCTCTTTCACAATCTCTCACATTTCTCCTATGCTCTAAAATCCATCATTTTTTCGACTTTCAATGGAAGAAAACATTGCCCCCATGGTGGCAAACCTCTCTTCCATTCTCGGCCTAATTTGACTCATCTCTTCCTCTAACTTTCTCTCCAAATCATCTGCTTTCTTGGCTGTTATTCCTTCCTATTGTTTTCGAAACTTGTACGTTGCGATCTCATAGTTCATTTAAATCAGGACCGTAAAAATCGCTCGAATCTCTAGACTGCCCAACAAGCTTAACTCATCAGTCTTCACAGAAGATGGAAAGTTCGTCGTTGCCTTCCTACACCCTATTTGACGCCATAAGATTAAGTTAAGAAGGAACTTCTTATGTTCCCTGTGCCCCACGTTCCTGACGACCTTCCACACAAACACGTGTCACAAGTGCCTTCCCGAGGACGGAGTGGGAGGAAGAGATCGAAGGAAGTTTTGGGTCTCTGTAAGCCACGATTCCAGGTCTTTTGCTTTGAGTCCCTGTTCGTCGCATTCACACGCCAAAATTCCTTGTGTCAACGCTTTCATAGCCAACTCTTACCCTTTACAATTCCATCATCTCTTTTTCAGCAAGCTCCAACCACGACAATACCGCAGGATTTTGTCACGAAGAAATTTCAGATCTCAGTAAGCGGCGATCCTTTACATAGAAGTCTTCTCAATGCACCGTGATCTTGTGGTGGCCTCCTTGTTAGCAATTGTATTGCAGGACTCAGCCACGAAGGGATCCCGTCGACACTTCTCAACAATTTCTTATGCCGGCAGCCTCTCCCGAAATCGTGCTCTGATACTAATTAGGTATGATCCGGAGCAAAAATCTACACGATTTTCCACAGAAATTAAGAAAAAACAGATTTTTTTTTTATTTCAATAATTCAAACAACTCGATGAGAATACAAAGATAAGGACCTACGATTCAAAATGCCGGCAATCGCTTCCAATTCCTACAATTCGAGAGGTAGGAAATCTCTCCCAAAACCTAAACCTAAGACTCACAACTCTAATCTCATGCATAAACCTAGCCCTAGACATTGCAAGACTATTTATACTCAACAACAATAATAATAAAAGACTAAATTGCCCTTTGCCTAGGTGCCCTCGTAACAAAATCATTACTAGAGTATATTGGCATTGAATGCTTGCCATATTATATATTTTTGTATGTATCATCATTTTGAGTTTACTTGTATATCACTATTTTTGTCTTGGTGGACTCTTATAAAGATTTTAATATTTTAGAGCAAGAAATATAATAGAGTAGTTTCAACTCACCATTCACATTTTATATTTAGCAGGACATGTATCAAAATTATTCTATTAGTTTTGAAGCATTAAAATTTACGTGTATTTTCATTTTAGATTAGATGATAGGATTTCTAGAACTTAGCTAGAATTAAATATTAAATCAGTTTGATTTTAAACATAAGCATATTTCTATAAATAAGGGTTCTAATGCATTACTTGTGATTAATAAACTTTGAATCAAGGCGCCCCCTTTAATATCCAGCATGTCTACTCTTTTCTTGTTGCTCGCTTACTCAGTTCTTTCTGTCTTTCTTACTCTTTTTTCCTATTATTCCTAACAAGGCAACACCATCAAATGTAAAGCCATTGAGGACTATATGCATTATTGACCACCAATGAAAAGAGGAAACATCTTAAACTAAGAATTTGGTCTTGATCTCAGCTTTTCAATGCATTAGAAACTAAATTGATTATACATATCAGTTAAAACTGTTTTATAAACTCACAATGATGTGTTCATTTGGGTTTCTACAATCAGGGTCCTCTGACTGCCAAGTTCTTCTCACTGCTCTAGATGGCTTTATACAGCTAATATTGTGTTGGTGAAATCTTAAATTTTATAACTTTTCATGTTTATGTTATGGTTGCAGTCTATAATTTTTGAGTGTTAATAAATCACTTAACTGCTGGCCTTAATAGTTGATAACATTTGAAGAGTAAAATATTTCATTTTGATATCTTGTATGTAAAAGTAAATAAGTATATTTACAAACAGAAAAATGCATAGATACACATCAATGTATATGCTATTGGTGAACCCTAATTGTATCACTATTGCAGCTTTTAAACATTTTCTCTTGTTGTCTATTCATGTCATCACATCATGCCCATGCCTCATTTTCACCCGCATTTTTTTTTTCTTTTTCATTTTCTATCCAGGTTAGTAATGCGCACAGTTGGACCTGTCTGGATCTTTACGCCTTCGCAACTCCATTCCGTGTTACGTGGGACTATTACTTCTTGTCTCGAGAGCATACACTTGAATTTAATGAATGGGAGGGAGAAGCAGAATATGAATATGTAAGTTTCCAAATGACTATTCTGTGATGAAATAGATTTGGGGGATTGATTAGCTAGAAGTCCCATTTCTTTCATCTTGGTAGCGCATTTTGGTGGAATTTAACATAAATCTGTCAGACAGAAAAAAGAAAAAAATTTAAATACTGGAATTAGTAAATTCACTTTCTTCTAAATTCCTCTTAGTATTGTCTTAAATCTCAAATTTACAGGATTTAGTAAAGCTCTTACCAGACACTCTTTTATTATAGTATGGTGTATTGCTAATTTTTTGTGAAATCAGGTAAAACATCATGGAGTATCAATTTTTCTCATGAAATCAGGGATGCTTGGAACTCTCCGTGCTCTGTGGGATGTTCTCCCTTTGTTTACAAATACTGGATGGGGTGAGAACTCAAATCTTAATTTTTTGAAGAAACACATGGGAGCAAAGTTTGAAGAACGTCCAGAGCCATGGTTTTCTAGCATCAATATTGATGACATCCATTCAGGGGACTTTTTGGTTTTATCTAAAATTCGTGGAAGATGGGGTGGTTTTGAGACGTTAGAGAAGTGGGTAACTGGTGCGTATGGTGGTCATTCTGCTGTTTGCCTGAAGGATTCAGAAGGAAAGCTATGGGTTGCGGAGTCTGGGCATTCAAATGACAAGGTTAGACACAGCCAATTTTGTATTTCTTATGTTTCAGCTTCCAAAGAGTTTTCTGAGCCAGAGTTTGCTTCCAAGTCTTTTAGGGGTTATTTGGTCAGTAGCGAAAGAAGTACATTGCATTCTTTTTGTTGGGATTTTTAAAATGCAAGTGTTTGGTCTGAAGAAAAATAATGCAGTATATAATTCTTGTGCACTTGGAATTCACACTCTAATTCATTTTCAATGTGTTTGGAATTCATTGGATTTTAATGAATTCCAAATACATTACTTTGTGTAAAGTGACACTGCCCCCACCGCCACCGCCTATTGCTGCTACTGATTTTAATGGATTTATTTTACATTAAAATTTTTTTTCTTCATTCCAAATAAAAAGATGACAATTCCTGCATTTATTTTATGTTGAACCAAATAATTCTAAAATATTCCAAATAAAATATATTCCTTTAACACCGCATTTTATTTTCAGCAAACCAAATAGCCCCTTAACACTGTTCTTCCTCTCTCTATATCATCACAGCCTTGATCACGTATTCACCCATAAGAATGCATTTTAATTGGACAGAAGACTGAATAATTCATCTCTCTGAGAAGAGTTGCTTAGTGTTTGTGGCTCTGGAAAGATTTACTTTAGGCGTCGGTGGCTGCCTTCTTAGTCCAAGCCCAACCTTTATAGAGTGACTAAAAGTTTAGACTTTTAGTTGTCCACATTGAGGTTCCACTTGTTCTAGAGAAGCTTAGGAAAGGTTCTAGGCGTACATCACCCTTTCCTTTCTTTGACTTGTATAATTTTATGCTTGTTATTATATTAACCTCGATAAGAATCCATTTCCTTATTATTATTATTTTTTATTATTTTGTTTCTTTATCTTTTGTAGGATATACCAAGGTTTAAGATCTTTTAAATTTAAGCTAATGCAATTTAAGAAAACTATAAAATTGACAAATGCAATGCGTTTGTCATAATGCTAATGCATTATGCTACATATGAATAT